CAGTCGCTGCCGCCGACGCGCTCTCTCGCGAGCGCGCGCAGCCCCCGCGGGGAGATGAGGACGAGGAGGAGGAGGAGGAGGACGAGGAGGAGGAGGAGGAGGAGGAGGAGTTGGAGTACTTCGATGGCCTGTTTTGGGGCTGTCTTGGGTCCATGTCTGGGGGGTCCCTTGGAGCTGTGTCTCGGGGGCCTCTGGGCCATCTTGGGGTTCTCCTGGACCGTCTCGGGGCCCCTCGGCCACCGGGACCGTCTTGTGGGACCATCCTGGGCCGTCCAGGGGCTTTCTTCCGCAGTACTGAGGCCGTCATGTGCTGAAAACATGCTGTATACTTGGTGTAACTTTTTCGGATACGTTCTGTATGCGTATCGTGTACTACTACTCCTACTACTTTTATTATTACTACTACTACGACGACGGCTACGACTACTACTACTACGTCTACGGCTACGATTACGACTAAGACTACGACTACGACAACGACACGACTACGTGCGACTACGACTACGACTACGACTACGACTATGACTACGACCACGTCGACTACGACTACTATTACTACTACTACTACTACTACTACTACTACTACTACTATTGCTACTGCGACCACTCGTGCTACTACCACTGCTGCTACTGCTACTGCTACTGCTACTGCTACTGCTACTGCTACTACTACTACTACTACTACTACCACTACCACTACTACTACTACTACTACTACTACTACTACTACTACTACTACTACTACTACTACTACCACGATTACTACTACGACTACTGCCAATACTCTGATTAATACTCTTACGCTTATAATTATTACTACTACTACTACTAGTACTGCTACTACCAAGACTACGACGACTACGACTACTACTGCAATTATCACTACTAATTCTACTAGTAGTCATACTACTGCAAGCACTCCTCCTCATCCTCCTACTACTACTACTACTATGATTATTCTTACTCTTACTACGGCGACGACCACTATTACTACTACTACTACTACTACTACTACCACCACCACTACTACTACTACTACTACTACAACTACTACTACTACTACGACTACTACTACTACTACTACGACGGCTACTACTACTACTACTACTACTACTACGACTACGACTACGACTACGACTGCTACGGCTAGAACTACGACTTTTGCAACTGCCACGACAAATACTATCCATCGTCGCTACTACCACTACTGCTCATACGACCACTGTGACTGACTACGTGACACGACTACTACTTCTACAACTCCCACTCAGTTCAGATCTGTTTCTACTGTTACCACTACTCATGCGCCTGCTACCAAGTACCACCACTATTGCTACTCTTTCAAAACATACGGTTCTTGCGATTGCTACTCTTATTGCTACTACTACTGCTACTACCACCACCACCATCTGCATTATTATTTCTACTAGTGTTACAACTACTACTACTACTACTACTACCACCACCACTACTACTATTACTACTACTACAACTACTACTACTACTACTACTACTACTACTACGACTACTACGGCGACGACGACGACTACTACTACTGCTACTACTACGACCACTACTACTACTACTACTACTACTACTACTACTACTACTACTACTTCTACTTCTACTACTACTACTACTACTACTACTACCACCACCACCACCACCACCACTACTACATCTACTACTACTACTACTACTACTACTACTACCACCACTACTACTACTACTACTACTACTACTACTACTACTACTACTACTACTACCTACTACCTACTACCTACTACCTACTACCTACTACCTACTACCTACTACCTACTACTACTACTACTACTACTACTACTACTACTACTACTATTACTACTACCTACTACTTACTACTACTACTTACTACTTACTTCTTACTACTTACTACTACTACTACTACTACTACTACTACTACTACGACTACTACTACTACGACTACTACTACTACTACTACTACTACTACCACTACTACTACTACTACTACTACTACTACTACCACTACTACTACTACTACTACTACTACTACTACTACTACTACTACTACTAGGCGGCAGCCTCCCTGGGGGCCTGGGGCTTTGTGCAGGACAGCCCCCTTGCGTGGTGGCTGCGGATGCGGCAGGTTGGGCAGAGCAGCCGGTCCAGTGTGAGGAGCTGGATGGGGGCTCATGGTGGTCGCCCGTGATCCGCGGCATGGATCTGTGATGACCCCGTGCCCTGGGCTTATGATGGTCCAACCTACTTTATCCTTGAATTTCGAGCGCACCCCAAAACTCGAGTGTTTTCGCGTGTCGGGCCCTGGGAGACACTGTTTCGACACTGTTTCGACACTCTTTCGATACTCTTTCGACACTTTCCCGGGTGTTCGAAATTATTTCTGGGATGTGCTCCTTAAGTACGATGGGAGCAACATAACCCTGGGCCCGGACTTCGATCTATGATGGTCGCGGCCCCTCATCGCAACGGGCCTGTGATA